TAGGTTACAGATGAATCAGGATTTTAGTTTTTGGTAGTCTGAGTCTCATTCTTGTAAAAATTTTTGTAAATTGGCTCTAGCCAGAGGAACCCCTAATGGATTCTTAATACAAAATATTAATAAAAATAAAGGCAAAACTTCACCTTAAAAAAAAAAAAAAAAAATTAAAATACTATATTTTAATTTAAAATTAAAAAAAGAAATTTAATTTATAGTGCTATATGTAGCACTATAGTGCTAGAGTATTGTAACTAATTAAAATTTAAGATTAGATGTAACATACAGATCACTCTTTGTATAACAAAAACAATAAATTTTTAAAAAATTGGTTATATTTCAAAATTTTAATAAAAAAACCATCTTTTGTGTTCTAATAACCTTGCAAAATTTTAGTATAACCTATGCTCTGCCTAACCTTAACCCCTGCTTTAATCTAAATCTAATTACAAGTTTATTTTTTGTATAGTTTTGATTTACATGTTTCACCAATTTTGTATTTACATATAGGGTAGCACTACGGCACTATAGCACTATAATAATATTCCCTTAAAAAAAATTCTAAAAATATTTTGTTGATTTGTTTCGCCAAATCTTTTAGATTAATACGTATATATATGGGCTAGGTGCTGAGAAAAGGGACGAAATTGACAATTTTTTCAAATAATATTTTTTTATATAAGTCAATTTAGAATAAGATTAGAATCATTTTTTAAAAGTAGTTGTATTAATAAAATTTTGTGGTATAGCTCTTTAAAGTTTGTATTTCCTTATGATTTATTATAAGATTTACAGCATAAAAATTGATTTTCTGAAGATCTTTTTTTTTGTCGATTTCGTTCCTTTTCTCAGCACCTAGCCCATATATATATATCAAAAATACAATGTAATAATATAAATTTACAAAGTTTTTTATTAAAAATCTCTGCTGTTAAATTCATTTTGATATTATATAAATTAAAAAAATAATTTAATAATTTGTATCGAATCTTTAAAAATAATTTATTTAAAACTATGAAAATCACCATGACTTTTGATAGGTAATGTAGTTCAAAGTGAAATATTTAATTTACAACAAAAAAAAAAATTCACAATATTGCAAAACCAAAGACCCAGACCCAAGACCCACAAGAGAAGTTACAATCACCATGGATTTCCAAATCCAACATTGGTACCTTGATTAGGCTGTTCGAATAAATTTAACCCTTGTGATTGTTGAAGGAGCTGCTGCTCTCGTTGAATGTCTATGAGAGATTTTGGTTTGTTAATATCGCTTGGAATCATTGTCTGTTGTGTTTGAAAAGGGTTTTTGCTGACTTGGCTGCTAAAGCTGCCTGTATCAAGGTCAATAAGACTATTGCTAGTGGGAAGGCTAGTCGTTGTATAAGATGAAGTAGAAAATGACGATGCAGGCTGTGACAGAGAAATCGATTAAATTTTAGTTTATATTAAAGCTCAAAGAAATAATAGACATAAAGAAACTTTACCTGATTGATGTTTGTACTAAATGTATTAAGGAAATCATTTTTAGCAGGTGGAGAATTGAAACTAGACGGAAGGGTATTAAAAGCTCCACCTCCAGGGTTGTTTGTGTCTCCACTATTAAGGAATGGATTGGCCTGACTAATATCACCCGTTGAATTGGACCTTCTCGGAGAATGTATATTGCTTGAGGGCTGATTTACCACGCTATTGGCGAATCCTGAGCCCCTATTTCATCAAATATCATTGATTAATAACTTTACGATTAGTTTATGGAACACACTTTTTTTGAGCGAAGCTTTTATATAACTTACGTTGGGACACGAAGATTACCCACATTACCAAAGGTATCCATGCCATCTCTACATAAAACGATCGATGTTAGCCACAATAAATCATGTAAATTAAAATTTCGGTTAAACTAACTAACCCCATATTTCCAATGATGGCTGCCAATTCAGGATGTTTTTTATCAGTAGAGTTAGACTTGAGGGCATTTAAGGTTCAAGAGAAAAATAGATGTATATCGAAATTGGTTATTTGAATATTTAAAATTATGAATGAAATATAATCGAATAAAAAGTCAACGATATATAAAAATGATCTTATATATACAGATGACAAATGCATTAATGCAAAAAATCACATACCGGTTGTTGTTGGCTATTATTAAATATATCAAGCGATGTTGAAGTTGTCAGATTTGGCGAACTAAAGTTGGATGACAAATTTCCAAAAGAAGTAATGCTATTAGTTGTTGGATATGATGTGGTTCCAAAATTTGCTCGTAGTTGCTGTTG